CCTTCTATAATAATTGGCTAAACCCAAGAAGCTTTTGATATATGTAGGATAGGTAGGTCTGGGCCATTGTTTCACTGCTTTTATTTTTTGAGAATCCACTCGGATCCCTTCGCTAGACACTATATGTCCAAGGAAAGCAACAGATTGCAACCAGAACTCACATTTGCTAAACTTAGCGAATAACTGGCGATCTTTGAGAGATCGCAAAACAACCCCCAAATGAGTCGCATATTCCTCCTCATTCCTAGAGTAAATAAGGATATCATCAATAAAGACGATAACGAACAAGTCCAAATACTGCTTGAACACTCTGTTCATCAAACCCATGAAAGCTGCAGGAGCATTGGTTAGTCTAAATGACATAACTACAAATTCATAATGACCATACCGAGTTTTGAAGGCCCTTTTTGGGATGTCACTATCTCTGATTCTAAGCTGATGATAACCGGATCTGAGGTCTATTTTCAAAAAATGACTAGCACCCTGAAGTTGGTCAAACAAGTCATTAATCCTGGGGATGAGGTACTTATTCTTGACTTTTACTTTGTCCAACTATCGATAGTCAATGCACATCTTGAGAGAACTATCTTTCTTTTTCACGAACAACACTGGTGCACCCCGTGGGGAAATATTGGGTCTGATGAAGCCCTTATCTAGAAGGTCTTTCAACTGCTCTTTCAATTCCATAAGCTTAGCTGGAGCTATTCTGTAAAGAGGAATAAAAACAGGCTGGGTATCTGGAAGAAGATCAATTCCAAAGTCAATCTCCCTTTCGGGAGAAACTCCGGGATGATCTTCTGGAAACTCATTGACTATAGGAACTGACTCAAGAGTTGCGATTTCGGAGATTGAATCCTTAACCCGAACTAGATGATAGATATACCCCTTGGAAATCATCTTTCTGCCTTGAGGTAAGAAATGAATCGACCCATCGGCACTGAGCTACCACTCTTCTATTCTAAGATCGGCTCGTCTGGAAACTGAAAATGAACAATCTTAGTTCTACAATCGACTGAGGCATAACAAGAATGTAACCAATACATACCTAGAATGACATAAAAGTCTACCATTTCTAACTCTACAAGATCTGCTGAGGTGACTTTCTGAGAGACTGTAAAAGGGCTATTTATGTATACCCGTCTAGCTATAACTGGGTCACCTACTGGAGTAGAGACTGAGAAGGGTTCTGAAAGAGTTTCTGGACTGACACCAAAATTCACTGCTATGTAAGGAGTTACAAAGGAAAGAGTAGCTCCTGGATCTAACAGAGCATAAACATCTAAATGAAAGACTCGTAATATACCAATGACCACATCAGGAGAATCATCTAAATGAAAGACTCGTAACATACCAGTGACCACATCAGGAGAAACATCCTGGTCCTAGCAAGCCTGGAAAGCATACAACTTGTTCTGATGTTGACCGCCACCTGTATCAGATGAAGTACCCTGCTGAGTTGGGTGACCTGCTAGTGCTACTAGAGCTGTAGACAGAGCCCTACTATTGTTACCTCACAGACCCTGTTTAGAAAAAGGGAAATCCCTCAACCTGTGACCAGTCTGACCACACCCAAAACATTTTTTCTTTCCTGCAAGACACTCGCTCGGATGGTTCTTACCACACTTTGGACAAGTTGGGTAGGTTCTAGTACCTGAAGCACTCCCATGGGACTTAGAGCCTAATGCCCTACCTTTTTTATCCTGTCGAAACCTGGAGGATGGAGTACTAGCTGATGAAGGTGCTAGAGATGAAGATTTCTTCTGAAACTGTGAACAATTTCCACCACCCGATTTTTGCTGAGAGTACTCATAGTTACCTGTCCTAACCTTCTTGTTGTCCTTAGCCATTTCCTAAGCTTATCTCCCTCAACCTGTTGAGCATGACTCATAAGCCTAGATGGTTAGATAGCTTTTTTTCTATTGCAGTCTAAAATCTTTCCAATATTCCATGACTTGTTAAGCATGAGTCATAAGCCTAGAGATATTCATATCATCTAACAACATAGCATTCCTGCACTCTGTCTTCACTAAGTCAGACACACCAAACAGAAACTTAGACATATGTGCCCTCAAATCAGCGACCATATACGGAGCATACCTGGAGAGTTAAGTGAAATTGAGTCTGTATTCTTGGACTGACATTGTACCTTGCCTTAAATTCATGAATTCTTAATCCTTAGCCTCCCTTAACTCTCTTGGAAAGAACCTGTCCAGAAAAGCTCCAGTAAAGCATTCCTAAGTCACAAGAGCTGCATTTTCACCCCTGTTTTCTTTCCACTGCGTGAACCATATGTGAGCTACATCCTTGAGCTGGTAGGATGCCAACACTACCCTATCATTTCCAGTCACTTGCATCACTCCAAAGATTTTCTTGACCTCATCAATGAAGTTCTGGGATATTCTCCAACTTGCGACCCTAGAAACTCAGGTGGATTCATCCTAACAAAATTATGGACCCTAGCCGCCATTGATCTACCACTAGCATTTGCAGGAATTGGAACCTACTGATTGTTATGGTTAGTCACACTCTGAGCCAAAAGCTGAATCGCAATCTGAAACTCTACATTCGAAACTTCCTGGTCTGGGACTGGATGAGCTGTGTTAGCATTCCTGGCGTTAGCATTCCTTGTGTAAGCTCTATGAGGAGGCATGATCGAAAATGCATAACAACGAGTTAGAAGGTAGATCACACCCATGCACGATAAGAATAACAAGAAAGTGAATTTTTCCTATAAAACTTTGTAGCCTCCCACTCATTAGATATAGTGAACTTCACACCCATGAAAAGGACTCTACTTAGTGTGGCTTTTCAGACATCCTAGAACTCTTAAACCTAATGCTCTGATACCAAGTTTGTCACACCCCGAGGCTACCCCCTTGACGTAAACACGGGACCTAGGATCACGAGTGACCCCAAGCTAACCCTAAGCTAGCATATCATAAGCAGACTGAACAAATCTATGAATAGATAAACTAATGCGGAAGCTAAATTTTGAGATAACTGAAATGATGGGAAATACCCAATACTGTCTAAATATAAAGAAACTATGAGTTTAATAACAACTAAAAGATCAAAATCACATCTAAAGTTAAATCTAACTATGTTTGAATATAAGCCTATGACTAGAGATGCTGGGACATGCCCCCAGCTAACTCTAGCAAAACTGAAACAAAAACAAGAATGACTGAATAAATGACATGTCAATCGTCCTCGAAGAATGAGAACTCACCATTGATACTGATGAAATGGAGATCAGGAAACGATCTAGGCGTGATCTGAATACTGAAGACATGAACCTACATCACGAGAAGATGTAGCGCAGAGTATGCGTCAGTACTTGAAAAGTTCTGAGCATGCAGGATAGGATAAAGCTGAACAATATATACAAAACTGAATAAAGCATACTGAGTAGTGATATAATCTGAACATGATGGAAATACTGCAATATACTGAAGTGAACTGAACTGAATGCAATGACCAAGTACATAACATGTTGAAACTGAATACTGAAATGTAAGTGGGGACCTGGTCAAATACACTAGAATCTGACTGTGGGAGCTACTAATAACCGACATAAAATCACATGAGCTAAATATGGAGTCCAATGTATAAGCCCAATCGAGAGGACCCAATATACCTTGCCAAGGGTATAAAGGCATGACTGGCGTGATCACTAAATATGATGCCCATATAGGGGACTTACAAACCTATCGGTGCACTTAGTTTTGGGACTATGAGGGTGACTGACCCTAGTCCACTCGGTATTAAGCCTACTCCCAACTATAATGTATACAATACCATATAATTGAATGTAAACTGGATAGCTCAAGATTCTGACATGCTAACTGAAATGCAACATTAAGTACTCATAATGAAACATTTGTCAACAGATGCATTATTTCTGTATGAACTGACCTAGAAAGTATAATTCACCAACTAAACGAATTTACACAACTAGGGGTCTAAATTTCATGCAAGAATTAAGAAACATAGTTACGAAACGTAATATTCTGATTTGGATTAATCTAACAGCTAAACCACAACAATAACCTAACGTTCTAGAAACCCTAAGTCTAAACATAATGAAGGGAATCAAAAATCTGACTCAATTCTAGGGATGTAATAGGCGAAAGGAACCCACTAGTGAAATCCCACATACCTGGTGATGAATTCCATGAAGAAATCTTTCAATTTTGGGGTTGAAACTGACGAGAACTTGTTGCATTCTTGGAGGGGTTTGGGTCGCCTCTTTTCTCCTCTCTTGCTCTGAGTTTGCTAAATTTTGGTGAATGAATCGCTTAGGGTAGATTCTAATTAAGTTACTAGGCTTAAATTGACCAAAACTACGTAGTTTAGGGGTTAAACGATGTAGTTTAGGTGCCAAATACATAGGGAAAAGACCAAATGACCCCTGACTTAAAATATATCAGGGGTCACCGATGGACCGTGGGTGGACCTACAGTCCATTCTGGTCAACCGTTGTTCGACGTCTGGGGCTAAAAACTGGGGGTTTGACCCACAGCGTTAGACCACGGTTCGTAGGTCCTGGCGTAGGTCATGACTTAGCTGGATTTCTGGGGTTCTGGGGAGGGAGTTGCAGGTGGCGAACCACTGGCCCCACCTACAGTCCGTGGGTCACTATTCAAGAATTACTAGTTATTCGATCTACTTTAATTTGTTAATTTTTCGTGGTTCCCACAACCCTAGTTGTGAAATTAGCTACTCATGCTTTGGTGATAAAAATTCATATTAATTTGTTTAATATAGAACATGAACTTATACTTAGAATAGTTGAATTTTGAAATCTTGAATTGAAGTTGCAAAGTAACGACAAATATCAATGCTATAATATTAAACCAAAGGATTCAAGAATTAAATGTAAAAGTGATTCACAAGTTAATTCTCAACCACAAGAATCTGAACCCTCAAAAATAAATATAAGAAAAGTATTTATAAACATCGAATTCTAAATAAAATAAACTAGGGAAACTAATGAAAAAATGGATTCGGCAGCAATTCATACGACCCACTACCTACAGACTGTAGGTCCTCCTAAGGGTCTTGGAGTCCATCCGTGGAAGCTATCTTCAAATCACATCCTTAGAATCTTTTCTAAGGACAGGACCTACGGTCTGGAGACCATTGTATGGTCCATTCTTCTCACTCGTAGTCCAAGTACTGGAACTCAATTCTCTGATGTCTTCTACGGGCCTAGACCTACGACTCGTAGAAAGTCCTACGGCTTGTGCTCTTCTCTCATTGCTCCACACTTGTCTTCAAAATATGTTGATCCTTTCAACGAGTTCTCCTTATGGTTCATAGAAGTTTCTACGGCTCGTACGTTGACTTGTTGAATCCCAAAAATAGTTGCTAACACTGTATCTTAGATCTCCGCTGCCAAAACCTATTTTCCTACAAAATAAAGATAAAATACCATCAGATCTACTAACAGATGCTCAAAAGACATGCAAAACTTCAAGTTTAAAGAATTACAAGTTCCGTAAATCTGTGGTACATCACCTTACTGCAGTACGGACAGATTGAAAACATCAAAGAGTCTAGTGGTTGTTTTATCATGTCTCATGGTAATTAATCTCCATTTATGTAGTTTCTCTATGTATCTATTGAAACACAAAAACATCAGGAGATTGGAGGGTTGTAGAGCATTATCTTGAAAATGGTAAGATTTGGCTCTTAAAAAGTTAGGTTAATCAATTACTTAAGCTTTATGGACAAATTAATCATGGTTTTATTGGTGTAGGTTTCCTAAGGATACACCAAACTCTATTTGAGCCAGGATTAACTTTTAGAATTAGCGAGGACATGTCCATGAGTTTAGACCCTCTATTTTGTACATGTTCCCAGTGCCCTATATTCTTGCTTCAGTATTACTGTGAATGATGTGCTTTTATATGCAAGAAAGATATTTTGATCTTACCTATTGGCAAAGAAAACTATATCCTTTTGAGGAAAAAGTATATTCTATGCGAGTAATATTCTGCATTCACTTTGTTATCCGTCTCGATAAGCATATGTGGTTTGATCATATTTCTTTACAGTACCAGAAATTCCACAATCTGGGATGCCATCAGGTCATGAAGTGCATCATTACTTAGAAAGGAATGATGATCATAAAGGAGCTCAAGTAGTGGACACAGAATCAATTGGATTAGCATATGATCGTGGTGTAGCTCAAGTAATGGACATACATGCAATCAAATCAGCATACGATTGTTATCTCCAGAGTTTGGTAATCACTGAAACTGACACTGCTTCTACATTTTACCGTGGGCCAGAGCTAGCTAGAGCAGGTGGTGGTGGTATACCTTTCCTTCATGTTCGTGATCCCCTTCCATCAGCTCGTGGGCCAGAGCTAGCACAAAATGGAACGCGAAGGCCTCGTGAAACACTACCTCTCCCTCCTGGTGCTTCTAACACCCTCTACATAAAGGGACTTCCTTCATACAGCTCAAGAAGAGAAGTAGCTCGTATCCTTTGAGATGTCATTTACCGAATTATTATTGATTTCTGAATATATTTGTTGCTTGTTCCCTAACTACACTTAAAAGATATTCTTCGTTATTTTGTGGGCTACAAAGAAGTCAGACTTGTTAGAAGGGACTCAAAACATGTAAGTTGATGTTTATTCCTTTTCTATTAGTATAGTATTTATCTACTGGGTGATATTTTGATAAAAAACAACTTCATTTTGCAGCATGCCGGAGATCCTCTTATCCTTGGCTTTGTGGATTTCGTAGATCCAGCGTGTGCATCTACTGCCCTGAGTGCATTGCAAGGTGATCTGATCTATTTTGCAACTTCCGTTTGTGACTTGTTACTCTCTAGTTGTTGCTATCATCTTTTGGAATAATCTTACAAGTGATGGTCTCTAATGTTGAATTTTGCCAGGTTACAAAATTGATGAACATGACCATGATTCTGCCTACTTGCAGTTGCAGTTCTCCAAGTTTCCAGGTTCGAGGTTTGGTGGCTCAGGAAGTACTTGTGGGAAGCGATAAATAACATCCACCCGCTTAGTTTCCGTTTCAACAGGCCTTAGTTGTCTGAAGAAATGCTTCTAACTTTATTTCAAACTGTGGATTTTTTGTGTGGCTTTGTTACTGTATTTACTGTTTGATTTGATCATGTATGGCCTTAGCTAGGCTTAGAATAGTGTTTTCTATTGACTTGAATTATTTGGATCCGCTTGGCCTTAGTTTTTTGCCCCCAAAGTCATTTCAGACGACTTAGCTCTCTGTAGAATAGTGTAGAACACTTGGGTCTGATAGAAGAATGTTTATATCAGATGTTAACTCAGCCCTGGTTACCTTCTATATATTTCTCCCTATTTTTGCTGCCCCTTGGTTTACGACTGAGATATCGGGTTTTGCTTGATGACTTGGATCTAGAATTAGTTCGGCTTGGAGTACTGTATTGATTACCGGGGAGGCGGAACTGTTCCACGGTTGTTTGGTGAGGAAGATTTGAAATGGGATCCTTCAACAACTATTATAGTCACAGATTCTAGGTTTGGGCATCTGATCTACAACAACAATCCATGAGTCGAGCTCTTTTATCCTTCACGAAGTTGATATATATCGGCTAGACCTTATTAGTCACTTAGAGGCCTATTTGTGCTTCGAGGTCAAGGCTACACACTCCCTGGTACGGATGGCAATGGGGCGGAGCGGATAGGATGTGGGGCAGGGTGGGTTTGAGGCTATGCGGAGCGGGTTTCAGGTTGTGCCGGGTGGGTTTGAGGCTATGCGGGGCGGGTTTCAGGTTGTGCCGGGTGGGTTGAAGTGGGTTTTTTAAAAATTAATATGGAGTGGAGCGGGCTGCAGGTATATGCGATTTTATGTTGATTCAAATTTAATTTTAATTTTTGACATGCTATAAGAGTGATAGACATTATTTATTAAAATAATTTCTTTAAAGTTACTACAATATTTAAGATAGTAAATAAAAATGGTTCAATAAAAATAAATACAATTTCTTACATGTTTCCTAAGTGGCTTCTAAAAAATAATTTTAAGTCATTTTCTATTAAACTAATACAACTTAATGAAAAAATGAATTTATTTTTATAAATTTTAGTTTTAGTAACGAACTTAAGCGGGGCAGGGTGGGGGGGATTGAAAATGGAAAAAATCGATATGCGGGGCGGATTAAAAATTTTGCGGGTTAAGCTCAACCTGCCCCACCCCCACCCCGCACCGCCACATTGCCATCCCTACTCCCTGGATTGGATGAGCTTACTATCCTTTTGGAGCCTATCAATGGTTCTGATAATGCTCAAATTATTCTAAAAACCAATTGGAATAGTAAGCAGCAGTTGTTAGCAATAAAAAGAGAATCGGGGCAAATGGGATAATTTGGGTTGATTTAAGTGGATCTTGTGAGTTGAATCAATAGACTGGTTATTTCTATCTTCTGCAGAAGTTGGGGCTAAAATGCGTGAGCGTCTAACGAGTCTGTTTGGATGGTTTATTTCAAGTGTCTTTACATCAAAATAGGTTTTAAGCATTTTTGAAGTGTTTGTATAAATTAAAAATGCACTTATGACCACTTGTTATTAAGCCCAAAAGACAAAAATAAGCCAAAAGTTATATGTTAGAGATCTTAACTTATAATTTTGTAGCAAAACATAATCTTTCGCTATATTATATATTTAGTGGCAATAATGAATATGAATATGTATAACCAACACTTATATAAATGTAGCTAAAGACTTTAGCAACTTTGAATGTAATGATTCAATTGCCACTAAAAGGAAAATCTATTACCACTAAATGTCTTTTTTATCGTATAACACCTTATTATAATGTTCAACATAGGCAGATTCAGCAGGAGGATTTACTTCCAAATTTAAAATCTATGCGTATAATAATATCATTTAGAGTGTAATTAATTAATACTATATAAATTAACATAATTTAATGTCTTCTAGGAACGCAATTTGATGCAATGGAATTAGGAAATTGGTGGCATATTTTTGAAAATAATTATTTTATTATACAATTTTATTTAATATATTAATATAATAAATTTGATATATTGAAAAATTATTATAGTTAATAATAATTAATAAGGAAAAATTAAATAACAAATTATTTTTTGATTTCTCAATCAAACAAATAAAAAAATCATTTAGTATAATGACCAAGTGAACAAACCAAGTATTATTTTTATTTTTAGAATTACTCTTTCCCCTCTATTTAAATTTTGTTTAGGAGTGTTCGTGGTTCGGTTTGGATCGGTTATGGGTTACAACCAAAACCAAATCAATCTAGTCAATTTTTTAAATATCTAAAACCAAACCAAACCAAACGAAAAAAAAAACCTTCGGTTTGGTTATTGACGGTTTGGTTCAGTTTTTCTGGTTTTTTCAGTTTGAAAGTAATAATTTTTTGAGGACATACGTATCTTGATAGACACAAACACCTAGTACATGAGCAATCCACTAAAAAGCTATTGACGGTTCAATTAAGCAATTAAACAATACTAAAGTTATCATTACACGAACAAAGTGATTCAATTAAGAGAAGGTGTAACTATCTTATGAAAGCTAAGGTATGGTAGGTGAAGACTAAAGTAATGAATTTTGATGGACTTGGGCTTATGATTGTAATAGATGGACTAAAATTTAGGAAAAATTAGTTAACTAGTCAAAATCATAAACATAATTATTAAAAACATCTACACTTTAAAATAATTATTAAAAATGTCAATATGTAAATATTTTAACAAATAAATTGTATCCTAGATTAGTTTATAATTTATCTCACATTTCAAGCCATCACGTTTTTCTTTTATTATTTTTCAATTTTTTTATTCTCTCGTCTGTATTAAATTATATGTTTATAAGTATTCTCCTAAAATATATTCTATTTTCACTCCCCTTCAACCCCACTTTCTCTCGCAATTCATTATTTATTACTGCTTCTCTTTCTTTCCAAGTTCTTTCTCCTCTTTTTTTTTTTCAAAATGGAAAAAAATCATACAAAGATATGTATCAGATTATCATTTGATCGGATAACTTCTTATTGAATTTATATTTATTGAGTTAACATCGTCACTTTTATGTATTTTTATATTTCACTCCCCTTCAACCCCCCTTTTGTATGTTGTATATCAATTATTTGTACTCGTGTAGTTTTATTTTCAACTTTTGATTAAACAAAATAAAAATTGTATTCTAAACTGGATTTTGTATTTCAAAAGTTGTATTTCAAAAATTGTATTTTAAATGTCATTTCCTAATATAATTGTTCATCAAATTCATTATTAACTTTTATTTTTAACTTTTAATTTAAACAAAATTTGTATTCTAAACTGATTTGTATTTCAAATTCTTGTGTATTTCAAAAATTGTGTTCTAAAAATTATTTTCTAACTGTTGAACAAATTTGTATTCCGATCAAATTTGTATTCCAATCATTCATCATATAAAATCACAATATTTTAATATAGAATAGGGATTTCATTATCAAAATTGTATTCTAATCATTCAATACATAATATCATCAAATTTGTATTCCAACCTAATTTATATTCTGATTATTCAATATACAACATCACATCAATAAATTTGAATCTAAATTCAATTTCAAAAATCTACTCTCAACCTGCGTCACCACTAATTTTATATACAGTTTATTTTCAGTTTGAATTTTAAAAAAAAAAAACAGCATGTTTGTTGTCCCCAATCACAGATCAATCATTTACCCAAAATAATAAATTAATCATAAACAATAGCAATAAATCATTCCAAAGTTTGAAAGAATGGACCTTTAATAGTCAATTTCAATATATTCAACTCTGCGTCGAGTTAAAGCAGGGTACTTATAAAAAAATCTCAAACAGAGTTCAAAAATTGAGTTATTAGAGTTACAAACGAAAATCGATAAAACGTAAACCACAAGGTGATGGGTTCTTTGGTTTCAGAGAAATGAACCAATGGTAGTTCAATTATTTCAATATTTTCTTTCCGCACAGAAAAAAATTCGAATGAAATTTGAGAAACAATAGGGAGAAAATTCGATATTGGACATTAGAGAAACAATGAAAGTGAAATCACTATAGTTTTTTTTTTTTTTTGAAATTGTAACGAATGAAAATTCAAGTGATATGTTCCTTTTTTAAAATGTTCTCTCCCCTGATTTTCTCTATTATGTTATTGAATAATTGTATTCTTTCAAATTAAACAAATTAAAAATACATAATTAGATATATAACAAACTCAAATATTGACATTTTTAATAAATATTGAAAATGTGGCTAAGGGGTCCTATTAAATGTTAAAATATTGACATTTTGAAAATTTTCCCTAAAATTTAAGTGTTGGGCTTGAGAAAATGGTAAAGTTAAAGATTTAAGTTACTTAAAATTTAACAAAATATTTATATTTTATTTATGAGTGATATATAAATAATTATAAAATTTATATATATAATTTATCGGTTCGGTTTGAATATTTTTGCAGTTATTTTTTAGTAAAACCAAACCTAACCAAATCAAATCAAATCAAATATCAGTTTTTTTAATCGATTTGATTTGGATTGCAGTTTGATTTGATTTTTTAACCATAACCATGAACAAACCTAATTTTGTTACACTAATTTTGGAAGACTTCCCTTAAGACTCAATTAAAGCATTAATATTACAACTTAATAATATACTATAATAATTAAGAAAAAAAAATCCATAAAAAAACTTTGCCTTCTTTATAAAAAAAGACATTATTCCGAATATTTTTTTGGTTAATTATTAAAATGATTTTAATAAAAACAAAATATTGAGATCTTAACTGGAAAAACTTAATGTATAATTAATTATTTTTCCTACTATTTTCTTATTATTAATAATAAAGTATTATGAGTAAGTGTAACTCAAAATAAATTATAGATATTAAATTAACAGTAAATTTCATATATGGCAAACATAATTAAGCAAATAATGTTCCATAGCTATAGTTATCTAATTACGCTTCACGACTATAGTTCAATTTGCTATGGAGTTTTAGATTTGTATATATCTCTTTTTCTGTTTTATTTTTATACAAAATTTTAGTTTTTTTAAAATAATGACTACATTTGCGGTAAATACGGTAACGAAATACAACTGTCAATTAATCCTTAATTAATGTGAATAAATCAATTTTAAAAAAGAAAATATCCCACGATATATTCATGCTAAGTGTATTTCCTTACAATTTTTTATCAAAATGGACTCTTCAAGCTATAAAATTCTCCCTTAAAATTCCGATCTTCATTTATTGGGTTTTAACGATCAAAATTTGATTTGATTTCTTCATGCATACTACAATAATAAATATTTTTCAATTTAAAATTAATAATTGAATTTAGTTCTTCCTTTCTAGTTACTCATTTGAAACATAAAAAATTAATTTCAAATAATGAACTTTGAAATATATATAATTATCATGAACATATACAATCATATTCAAAGGATAAATGCTAGAGAACTTTTGGTGTATATACAATTGATGCATATATACATATAAGCGATTATATATTATTTCTAAAAACGACAAATATATATATCATTTGATATACAAATTAAAATGTATATAAATATCATTAACAAATTCAACCGTATAAGATATACAAATGATTAATGCTAGACAAATATTAATATATTCAATCATATAAGATATACAAATGATACATGCTAGACAACTATTTGTATAAACGTAATTGACAATTTTTTGTATATATGCAATTGATGCATATATACAAATAAGCAATTGTATATTATACCTGAAAATATACAATAAAAACGACAAGTACAAATACCATTAATATAAATACAAAATCTACAATAACATTGATATAAATACAAATCTCAGAAAATCGTATATAATACCATGTAAAAATTATTAATGCAAATACAACTAATGAAACAATACTTAAAACACGTATTAACAACAAAACAAATTGAACTTCTCATCCTTGTTGAACCATCAAACTTTTGTTCCTCAACTTTTCTGCTTGTATGTTTTGCTTGAAAAAATTTCATAATTTGTTGCAGCTTAATTGAGTCATTTCGATGCTTGGATCCAAACTCTTCAATGAATGATTGAACTTGACTTTTATATCCAAATTGGAACTAGACTTGAACGTCTTTGGATCCTGCTTAGGGCCGGCTTTCACTTTCATATCAGGAACGCCGACTTGCACTTGCAATATAGAATTTGACTTTTGCAATCAGTTTCGCTACAACACCCGCTACTCTAGCTAATTGACCACCCTTTTCAAGTGTGATTTCTATGTTATGTTGGCCGTGCCTAAGGGCATATCGGTTGAAGTAGATTGTTCTTTTGATCAATCAAAATCTTTTTTCCGTCTAGATTTAGCAACATAACTTGCAACATCATAGAATGCTTGAGTTAGATCCAACGAAAATGATGGTGGGTCATCAAGAAATTTGACACGCAATGGTATGCCTCTAGTAATCCAAAATCCTTCAAACATTTTTTGATTTCTGAAAAATTTGAAAATTGGAGAAAGATTTTTGAGGAAAAAAAAGACAAGCATAAATCATACACAAACGAAAAAACAAAAAAAAGAGTAGAAACACATTTTGGGCGATTACCTTGAATTGTGATGCCATGATTAGGAGGGAGAAAGTAGATTTCGAAATTCAAAATCAATGTATATGAGTGATTTTAGGAGAGAATTAGAGAATGGAGAGAAAAGAAATAAAATTAGATTTGTATAAATGAGTACACAAATAAGGGAAATACTTGTTTTCTTTTCGTATACAATCCGTTCGTGGATCCCATGATTAATAGCAAATTATATTAAACTATAATCACACATGGTAATTAATTGGAACTGTAATCATATTGAATAATAAACAATGTTTGCAAATTTGCGTAATTTTCCCTTTTAATAGTGGGTTACTGGGTAAACCGATAACTCATTAAGAGTGTAGTGATTTACTACTTTTACATACATAAATATTAAATATTAATTTCAATACCTTACCAGTTACTGTCTTTGCCATTTAGCCTTCCATTCATACTTCACAGTGATTTTTGGATTTGGAACTTTACATTATACAAAACGTCAAAACCTAAAGTAAGAACCATATTCCTCTTAATTTCTCTTTGTGTTACACTTGTATAGTTTTTTTCATGTTAGTTATTATTGTTTCTATTTTATGAGCATTTTGTAAAGTTATATTATTATCTTGTCGCGTCAACTTTTTTTAGAGAAGTCATATATTTGATTTTATAAGTATTTTTTATTGGTTAAATCGAAAATCGATCGTTAAGAACAAAAATCGATAAACCGATAAAAAATATATTATTAATTTAATTATTAATTTAACATATTTAAAAATTTAAAACTAATAAATTAAACCAATAATACATAAAACTGAATCAGATCGATGCACACCCAAAATAGAGTACTAAAAATAATGGGAGAGAATAGTATTAGAATGGAAATAGCAAGGGGAATCAATCAAATCAAAAGAACAGCTAAGCAGATCTATTTAAATCCACACACAAGATAAAGTCAACAAAATTGATGGTCCCCCAGATTAAAGCCTTAGGTGGCATTCGGATTTAAATACTTCTCCAAAGACAATTGTGGGAAAAATGTGCTCGCTTTAGGATTAATTTTACGAAAATGATTTGGATAAGGTTTAGCAAAAGACATCCTTCCGTTTCGATTTGTTTATCGTTTTTCTTATATTAGACTTATTTGATTAATATTTTTATTTTATTTTTTTATATAATATATTTAAAATTACAAAATTAAATAATATTTTAATATATTCACATATCTTCCGTTTAAAACGATAAAGTTTTTTAAAAAAATCTTTATTATTTAAAATTTTATATTAAATCAAAATTAGACAGATAAATTGAAATAAAAGTAACATCTCATTACATTCGAGGGTCAAAGGAGGCGATAAGTTAGTGTGTGAAAACTGAACCTACACTCTTTTTTTTTGTTTCCGCCCATGTCCGCGACACACATTAAGATCCCGATTATATTCAAATCACACATTGCAAAGCATATTCTGGGGTTTGGAACCTTACACTTATTATGTGAGAAATTTCACTAGGAAATTCTAATGGTGATTTTGGATCAAACAGTGTTTATTCTTGAAAATCAACATTTATCCTCTCTTAGATCAAATAGATTTTATTTTAGCATTTTGAAAGACAAAAAAAAAGGATTTTGGGGAAAAGACTTTACTCCCAATTATCAACAAGTCTTCTTTGAAGAACATTTGTATGAATTTTCCTTGTTTGTTGTCACTAAAATAATTAATTCCAAGCCAACATAATGCCACCAAATTATGATAATTAATCCAACGAAAATAAAGGCCAAATCCTTCAATCCAAATTAAAAAAACAATTACAATGAACACAATCTTCTCACAAAGAAAAACATCAAGAATTCATCAAACACAAGAAAATGGCAACTTTTGATCAGTTTTTCAATTTATTGCATCGAGATTTGTAAACTATGATTGGGAATCATTGTGATTTTCATCACCACTATCACTATCTTGATGCTGTTGTCTTAGATGATGATGCTCCAAATTCATACCCAAATCAACCCTACTGTTATTATTATTATATGCATTCATTGATGACAACATTCCCATATTTGACCCCAATTGTTGAACCGCCTGTGACTGCTGCAAAACCATTGAACCTAACTGAACCGGACTGAACCGTCCTCCACCGGGAAACTCCAACCCACCAATTCTTGAACTCTTGTACTGCCACAATTGGTGGTCCGATTGAGCCGCTCCAACTGAAACCGTCGTTGAACCGGTGCCTCCGCTTACTGGTAACATCCAGAACCCGTTACCAACGTTGCCACCAGCTGGTGCAACCGCCCACATGGCTTGAGCCGGGATTAAACTCGGAGGTTGTGAAGAACCGGGTTTAGAAGAATCTGAACCCGGTTCATCCGGTTTATCAGCTGAAGGGGAGGTGGCACCACTGGTAGTAGTATCTTCTCTGAACCGTTTTTTCATGTAATTCTCATCTGGGTCTTGGTTAAAACCGGTGTTGTTGGTGGATAGATGGTGGTGGAACCCTAACATAGCGGTGGCAGCGGCGGCGGAGGCGCCGTGGATGAAAAGAGGTGCAGATTTTGACGGCGGAGCTGAAATTGTTGTACCACTGCTACGTGTAGAAACGTTGAGAGTTGAGAAATTAGCCGGAATCGTACCGGTTCCGGTGGTAGCAATAATTGCCGGTTCAGCTTGTTGCAATAGCCACTCGATGGTTTCTCCGTCAGATTTATGACCCAATTCTTTAGTGAGTTGGAAAACCCGGGCGGCGCATAAAGCAGGCATGCGTATGCGCCGCCCACGACCGTCCACCTTAGTATGACGGTCTTTAGAAGGTTTCTTAACTACCTTGGGAGTGGATAGAGCGTTGTTGTTGGGGGTTGGAGAAGTGATGGTGGAAGGAGGAGAAATTAGAGTTGTTGATTGCATGGAGATGGAGCCCATGAAGGGGCCATGGGGATGGTTGGACCCAGGGGTAGAAGGGTCAGGTTGACTTTGGTGTGGTGAAATTAATTGTAAAGAAGAAGGTGTTTCTTGGTTGTGTTGATGGTGTTGATGGTGGTTTGTGGCACTAGTAGAACCTCCTTGTTTTTTTCTATGTGGTTCCATGAATTCCATCTTGGAAAAGAAGAGAAAATGTGGGGTAGTGAGGTGAAATTGAAGGGTCTAACAAATTGTACTTTTTATATTCTCTTACTTGATGCTTCAAATATTTGTGTAATTGACAAGTGAATTGGCAAAAACTTGAAAATCAAGTTGTTGCTGCTGCAGTTGCAAGTCTTTTGAGCCAAAAATTAAAAAAATTGTGCAACAAGTGGAAGTGGTGGGGTTTGTCTTCTCTTTTTTCTTTTTTAACTTAGTGGTTGACTGATGTCTTTTGGAGAAAGAAAGAGAAAGGAAGAAGAGTAGGTGTGGGTGCCAAAACAAAATCCGTGGTGACCTGTCAAATATTACTTTTATTTTCATATCATATTTAAGGTGGAACATATATTTGTATTTGTAAGGAATGTTATTGTTATTTGAGCTATTATGCCCAAAGCCAACTCCTCTTTCCTTTTTCTATATTTCATGAAGAAAATAAAATTGTTCAAGGTAATAATATATGTACAAGTGAAAAATTTAATAATAATTTTATAGAAGAAACTTATTATTCTACGAATAGGAGGTATAAGATTTATCAAATAACTCAATAACTCTTGTAATCTTGTACATTAAATATATTTCTCTACACCCAATGTATTTTTCACTACATTGAAAATATGTAATAAGGCATCTCTATTTATAATACTAACAATCAAAGCAAACTAGAATTAGAAACTAACAAATCCTAATTAAACATAAATAAATAAATATCATAAATAAAAAATCTTAAAATAATAAGGATTTCTACTCTTGGTTTAATTCCTACATGCCATTACTTCAAAATTAATTATAAAGCGAAATCTGGAGAAAAATGAGTGTTCTAGAGCGAATTTAGAGGGAGATATCTGAAATTATCTGTAAATTGAGTAGAAATAATCACCCTCTTCTTGTACTCTTTTTCTGTTTCTTTAATGGAGTAGGGGAAGGGATTGGTCGGAGGGTTATAAAGTATGATGAAGTGATAATGGTGGTGTAGGTGAAAAGATTTATGAGATTAGTGTGAAAGCATTGAAAAGTTAGGAGAACACATTCTTTTAAAAATCAAAAGTTTTGGCTGATTTGAGATTATAATTCTAAATTAGTGTTTGAATATGTGATTTAGGTTGGTAATTTTAAATTTTTTGAAAAATAGAATTTGAAATTTCTAATTTTTTTTAATGTAAAACGTAATTCATAAGTTTATAATTTGTAAAAAAAAATCATCATTTCAAATCTTGTAAAAAGTACTAATTAATTTCGGCATGAAAAGATTTACGTACCATGTGAAAGGATTATATTAAACAATATTTGATTACTAATATTATTGACTAGTGAATATTTATAAAATTATATTATTTGAAAGTTTATAATTACAAATATTTATTTATAAAAGGAACACGAAGATATGTGATTCTTGAAATATTTTGATATCTTGTTTATGGATTATGATTTCATCGGTAAGATCATATAAAAATTGAAATGTTCTGATTGTTTTCATAATAATTTGTATAATTTTTATGTTTATAAAAGAAATACAATTAAAGAAATTTCAAATCATATATTTTTTTATTTCTCATCGAGTGTTCAATATCCACATAATCACATTAGATATCAATTAAATTCGAATTCGCATGAAAAAAATCTCACATTAAAAGGTAAAACACTTTTTACTAAAGGAGACTCCATTACTCAGGAAAATTCAACCCCAAAACCTCTTATTATAAATAAAAAATTATTTATCACTCTACTATAATACTTTTTGAATTTCAAATCATATCTAAACGGCCTAAGAGTCATTTTCTAGTCTTGCTTTTTTTGTCTTTTTATCCATTCCCTCTTTTCTTTTTGTTTTTTGCTTTCTTTATTTGCTTATTTCTTAGTGCTCACTGATTGAGTTTTTGTCATATTGTTATATTATAATTGAAAATGATGTTAATCATGTATTCAAGTCCTACCACAAGCCTCTTTTAGTCTTCAAATTCCAACCCCACTTGTGTCTACTTACACAGATACATACTCATATATGTATGCATTTATTTATACCTACACTACTAAAAAACTGCTAAAAATCGACAGAAGAAAAAGCGACGGACAGCGTCGCTTCAAAAAGCGACGGACTAAGAGATGCCGTCCGTCGCTTTTTAATAAAAATAATTATTTTTAAAATTATTTTACAAAAAGCGACGGACGGCATCTCTTAGTCCGTCGCTTTTTTTTGCGGATTTTTGCAATAATATATATATAATTAATAATTATTTATTTAATATACATAGAGACGCCGTCCGTCGCTTTTAATTTAAAATAATTATTTATAAATTAAACAATAATCATGTTGTCCGTCGTTTTTAACTTAGTTTATTTTATTAATTAGTTTTTTAAAAAAGCGACGGACGGCATCTCTTAGTCCATCGCTTTTTGGTCAAAATATCTAGTCAAACATTTTTAAAAAGCGACGGACAGCGTCTCTTAGTCCGTCACTTTTTAGTCAAAATTTTGGTCAAATATTTTTTAAAAAGCGACAGACAAAGAAACGTTGTCCGTCGCTTTTTTTAAATTGAGTTGAACCAAAAACGGGTTTTCCCCCCATTATCCCATCTCCCTTCTCTCTAAAACCAAGTTGTTGTGCCGCCGCCCCACCACACCGCCTTCGCCCTTCTCTCCTTGAGCATTAGTCCCGTCGTCGCCTTGCCCCGTCGGCGCCGCCACCTGTCGTCCTCACTGCCTCTTTTCCTTAGCTTGTTAAGGTTAGGATTTAATTTTAGTTTTTTTTCAATTCTAGTAATATTTGATTTGTTATAAATTAGTATATCGTTTTAGTTTGATGAATTATGTTAGTCAATTGCTAACTTGTATATTTGATTATTGTTAGTTAGGAGAGAATTGGAGATTTTTGATTTTAGGGTTTTCTTCTAAATTATTTTTAAAAAAAAATATGATTGTGAATTGAGTATTAGAAATTAGAAGTTAGATTAGTTGCATTTTCCAACTTTGAAATTCTTGAATTTTGTATGTTTGACGGTTGAAGTTAGAAAAACATTGAATTGTATATGAAAGTTAGATTACTTTGAAGTTAGAAAAATATTAGTATATGAAAGTCGAAATTAGATAGTTGAATTTTCATCTTAGAAGTTCTTGAATTATTTTTTTAAAAGTTGAAGTTAGGAAAATATTAGATTGTACATGAAAGTTAGATTACTTTAAAGTTAGAAAAATATTGGATATTATATGAAAGTTGAAATTAGGTTACTTGAATTCTTGAACTTAGAAATTCTTGAATTTGAAGTTTATATAGAATTAATTTTAGAAATTAGACATGAACTTGAATTTTTGTAGGATTTTAGAACTTTAGGTTGTGAACATTAGAAATCTTGAATGATTGTAGGATTTTAGAACTTAGGTTGTGAACTTTAGAAATCTTGAATTATTGTAGGATTTTAGAACTTTAAGTTGTTAACTTTTGAGAACTTAAATTTAGAGTTTAATTTTAGTGTTTTTTTTCAATTCCAGTAATTATATTTGATTTCTTAGTTTGTATATTTTTTTAGTTTGAGGAATTGTGTTATTCAATTGTTAATTTGTACATTTGATTATTGTTAGTTAGGGAGAGAATTGAAGATTTTTAGATTTTAGGATTAGTTTTCTTTTAAATTGAGGATTTTTAAATATGATTGTAAATTAAGTATTAGAAGTTAGAACTAACAAATAATTAGAAGTTAGAAGTCAGAGATTAGTTGAATTTTTCAATTTGTCATTGTATTTGTGCTTATATATTATATTGTTGTTGAAAATTGGGTTACTTGAATTATATTCTTGAACTTAGAAATTCTAGAAATTAGATATGAACTTGAATTTTTGTAGGATTTTAGAACTTTAATTAGGTTGTGAACTTTGGAAATCTTGAATTATTATAGGATTTTAGAACTTTAGGTTGTGAACTTTAGAAATCTTGAATTAGTGTGAGACTTTAAAACTTTAAGTTGTGAACTTTAGAGAACTTGAATTTTTGTAGGATTTTAGAACTTTATAAGATTGTGAGCGTTAGAAATCTTGAATTCTTGTAGGATTTTAGAACTTTAAGTTGTGAACTTTAGAGAACTTGAATTTTTGTAAGATTTTTAGAACTTTAGGCTGTGAAATGTTAGAAATCTTGAATTATTGTAGAATATTAGAACTTTAAGTTATGAATTTTAGAAAACTTTAATTTTTGTAGGATTTTAGAACTTTAAGTTGTGAACTTTAGAGAACTTGAATTTTTGTAGGATTTTAGAACTTAAGAAATCTTGAATTATTTTAGGATTTTAGAACTTTAGGTTGTGAACTTTAGAAATCTTGAATTATTGTGGGATTTTAGAACTTTAAGTTGTGAACTTTAGAAATCTTGAATTATTGTAGGATTTTAAACTTTAGGTTGTGAACTTTAGAAATCTTGAATTGTTGTAGGATTTTAGAACTTTAGAAACCTTGAATTATTGTGGGATTTTAGAACTTTAAGTTGTGAACTTTAGGAATCTTGAATTATTGTAGGATTTTAAACTTTTGATTGTGAACTTTAGGAATCTTGATTTATAGAATTTATGAACTTATTATTAGGTTGAACTTTAGAAATGTTGATAAAATATAGTCTTTATGAACTATTTAATTAAGCTTGAACATAATTTGAACTTAATTTGAAGTTTGAATTACTTGAAATCTTGAAACGAATTTTGAAAGTCTTTAAATTGTGATTTAGATATTTTTGAATGTTAATTTAAGTTTGTTGTTTTATATTTTGTGTAGCTTCTTTATAATGTTTTGGGATTGATTGAGTTGAATTGAATTGTTTTTGCAGGTGGGGAACAGAAACTGACAGTTTCTACTATCAAAAAAATTGCAGAAAAAGCGATGGACAGGGTGGTTTTGTCTGTCGCTTTTCTGGATTTTATTTTTGAAAAAAACCCAAAAAAGCGACGGACAAGGTCCTTTAGTCCGTCACTTTTCTAGGTTTTAATTTTTGAAAA